CACTGGTTTCTCTTATTTCGTCCCGATACAAACACGATGTCCCAATTTTGCCCTGATAGCGATTCGTGTTCGCAGCACACATTCCGTGAGTCAACTGCGGACGTCTAAGTAGAGGATAGAAGAAGTCACATACTGTTTTCGCCAATGGCGTCACCGTCAGCAATAGCAGCAATTTCAATAACTGGTACATTGAGTGAGTTGGGGCTCACGTGGAAAGTATCTGTCCTGAATAATGGTGCGTTTTTATCAGTAATAACACACCCGAAAAAGTAGTAAACCCACCTTTTCCCCGCTTTATCGTATTCTATACCAACATGGTAACTGGATCTCCGGTAGCTCGTCGTGGTGCCGTCCACCTAAAATGTGTAGGATATTTTTCGAATATAGAGCCACAAGACTTTACCTTTAGATGCGATGATGAGCTGAGCTCTGTAAGGGCGACGTACGTCTCTGCGGTCTTTATAAGCGACAAGTATCCGTACCCCTCCGTGGACTGCAAAGATCTTTATTTATGCAATGCTATATAGCTCAACATAAGTTTGTAACTCTGAAGCAATTGCCTTCAAAACAGATGGGGAACGAAGTCCCGTTAGTGTGATGTATGGTTCTCTTGCCTTTATAGGCGACAACTCATGTCCCTCCATTGACTGCAAAATTATGTTTTACGCTGGCTTGAACTGAATGTGTTTTGAACTCCAAAAGAATTGCCTTTGAGTACACAGTAGAGAAAAGTTCCTCCCTTGTCTTTAGAAGCCAAATGTATCCCTCCGTCGACTGTAATGATCCTCATTTATGCTAGCGCATAGCTGAAGATGTGTATGTGATTGAAGATTATATTTATGCTTTGCTTTTTTTGAGCCACATACAAGATTGTATGGCTCAGAAAGAAAGAAATAAAGTATCACTACCATGCCGAGATTGATTGGGATGGTATTATACATATTATCTTAATAATTCGACAGCAAAAGTCTCAGAGACTACTAGCTGGCTTACTCCCGCTCCGCCGCGCGAAGTATGTCAGCTAGTAGTCTACAGAGTGTCCGTGAGAAATGTACCTACTGTTATTCTAAATAACTCTCTTACTTGGAAGTCTTTGGAGAAGCGGTAAGTACAGTATTGTAGAGCTGGCTTCAACTTAGATTTATAGTGTAGAGCGAATTACCGATCGCTCTTGATTACTGTAGGATTA